TTGTTCAGGGGACACCCTGTTTAACTCTCACTATTTTGAATCAAACCAGTTCTTTTTTGCCTCTTATTGATGCGGAAACGCTTTCCATGATCGGCAAAAAAATCTGCACAAAAATGCTTTTTTTGTAAGGAAAAATGCGCAATTGTCGTAAATGCTTCTTTCAGGCTGTTGAGATTTCCACCTCTGTAGCCGAAGAAATCAAAGAGGATCAGATTTTTGACAAAAGCAGTAAGCTCATTTGAAAGAGCATACTCAGCTCTTTCCGATGGTATGTGCACCTTGGCGCAAACAGCCTGCTCCTCAGAGAAATGCGAGTGAGAATGAAAACTCTACGAACTTATGAAATGACTTAATAGAATTAAGAATAATGGCGGTCTTCGAAACAGGTCAAAGGGAACTTCATACAAAATTTTCAAGATTAAGGAGGACTCCATTTGTAATTTTCCTGGTGCCTAATGCCGAGCCTTGCCTATAGCCGCAGAACTCTTTCATTGAAGAAGTTTTCATGCTGCAGTTCTTTGTAAAACATATAACCACACGACTGGATGAAGTACCTGCATTTCCTCATAAGCCTGAAACCGAGCATGTCTCATGTGGAAGGATACTCAGTGGAGACAAGGTTAGCGTAATTTTTTAGAGTGATCAAAGTACTAGATTTAATAGCACTGCTTAAGGTTTACGTAAAGGATATCGCTCGCAAACGTCCAGCGCTACAAAAGCGGTGGCTGAATATGTCCTGCAATGAAATCAAAGGTCGCATTCTGCCTCCAAAACACTTAAAAAGAATTGATTTTGGTGTGGCTTATGCCCGCATTGTCTTTGAGGTATGAAATATTTCTGATAGCATTTAACGACAACCTCTCGTATGATAAAAGTTCCACAGTGGCTCTGCAACCACCATCAAAACGCTCAGATTCAAATAGGTGTTTTAAAAGTATGCACTGCTTAACGATCATTATCTCTCATCTGGAGTTCCTGGGCTTCAGGTATATTCTGCAGAGTTGGCTTTAGCTTAGTTTCACAGTTCATTGATTGCTCTTCTTCACTAAAAGGGTATGTTAGGAACGCAACAGCATACGATGCCGCTGTGAAATAGGCCGAAATAGAGATGTGCAAAAAATCTAGAAAATTGTGTAGCAGCATTCTTAAGCTCGCTGATTTCACTGTACAAATTACAACGAGTTTTCGGGCTTTTCAAATTAGTCGAATGATTAGCGCTCCATGTAAGATTACCGTGCTGGTCATGGGTCCGATTCCACACTGAGCCTAATTTCTGCGGCAAAAATTCTGCTCAGAATTCCAGCGCAAGGCTGCCCTTCCAAAGAACGTGTGCGACAAGCCAGCTGCGAAACAGCCGGTAGCATCAAAAAATGCAGACATGTCTTATGATCCTCGAGTAAAAGCTAAGGCGTCCCTCAGAAGCGACGCGCATGCGAGCCCGACGACTGCGAACAGTGGGCGAAGGCTACCGTCTCAGAAAGGTGAATGGGACGTTCAAATGGTCTAGTTCACCAGAGGCAACGATCCAGGGCATCGCAGACTCTCCGTCTAGCCATCAATATGGGTACATTTACTCTTGTTCTCGAAAATTGGCAGATTTTTGAAAGAGACTGCGCATCGATGTAGACTGCATACAGGAAACGAAGTGGAGCGGGGCAAAGTCACATCGCAGACATCGTCGCGACAACAGAGATGGACATATGCGGCTCTACAAGGGTCACCCGCGCCAGGCGGAGCGGTGTAGCTGTCTCGGAGGCTTAAAAGGCACCGTACACCCAAAGTGGGGGTGACGAGATTATGACGGCATACTAGTGTGGGACCCCACACTAGGCAAACCCCTAAGTTGGGCAGCAAGAGATTGTTTCTGGAGCGAGAAATCCGCTCCGGAAGGAACGTATCCGG